TCTACTCACATACTCACCCTACAAACACAGAATGGCATCGCCATAGGCCATGGTCCCTGTACCTGAAGTTCATCTTCCACCCATGATAATGATTGACTTAGTGTGAGGTGTGAACTGAGACAAGCCACACAGAGTAAGCCTTCCCTCAGCACTTATCAAATTAGTAGTCAGCAAGGAGGGCTCTCAGGTTTTATAAGCTCTCTTAGGATCCTAACCAACACAACATTAACTAGCATAAAACAGTATTGAAGAGGTGGAGAAGGGAGTGGGCACAGCCAGGCTGGACCTAGACATCACTAACTCCTACTGATACAATCTAGGAGTTGCTGTCCTCAAATTTACTCTGCAGAAAGACATGCAGTCTGACTGGGATCAGTTCCCACCACACCTTGATGGCACTAATGAGGAGTTCCCAACTCAACCTGTTAGACAAAAGTGTTTGTAAACCATGGGCAGGTCCTCCTAGGTAATGTGGTTCAGAAGTGGTGGCAGCCTGGCTCTTCAACCATTTCTAGACACCTGGCATTGGTGCCAGGCTCTCCCAGCAGCTAGCCTTCCCTCTTTTACAGCCCTGGGAGTTCCATACAAGTCCTCCCAGATGAGAAAGCACTTGAGAGCCTCATTCTGTGAGCAAAAACTCATGTCACTGCAAACTTATCACCAGCAACTCAGAGACAGATGTGTTCACATGGGTCTCTAGGATTCAGAAGTCTGAACAAAGAAAGTCACAGCAGCCTGAACTCAAGGTATTACAGACATGGTTCCTGGATCCTGGCTCTACCTGTTTTGACTTCTGGAGGTACCTATACGCCTAGGCTCACAACTTTCCTCCTGCGTCCTCCACTTTACAGGGCTCTGTGCCTGCTCTCAGACCACTGGAGGGTCAAGGATAATCCCCTTCCTTGCGGGCAGCTCTACCTGCCCTTTTCATGCCAGGCCCTGGGATCAGGACAGGACTTCAGGGCCATGTAAATGGAGGACAAGATTCAGTACAGAGGTGGAAACACAACCGTTATGAAACAAAGAAAGAAAAATTGCTGTTTGGAAACTTTTGCTGATTTCAGGTTCAAGCACTGATCTCAGAGCAGGAAGCAGAGGAATCACTAGAAATCTAAAGAAGGCCCGTGTGCTCTTTCCCTGACTACTTCATGCCTGTGTTCCTGAGGAAGCCCATAAGCAGATACTTAGGGGATGTCAAAGCCAGTGACCATAGATTAGCCATAGACAAGCTGTAGGGATTTGAGTGTCATTCTTAGAAAGTCACTGGCACAATCTTGATGAACATGATACATGGAAGCAATTGTTTCTCCTCCTCTACTCAATACTTAAAAAAATGGTTTTAATTAATAGCATTAATTTTATAATCATGAAAAATCCTTTACAAACTGGTGTTAGGGGAAGGTTCTTACTGCATTAAGACATCATGGCCCCACTAAGAGACTGTGGGTGGGAAATGCCTACCACACATTCCAGAGACCCATTCAGAGTCTCTGCTCTGACCTAGAATATTTGGAGCCTTCCAGAAGTAGGATTCATGGGCTTATTGGGTGCTTACAGCACAACATAACTGAAGGAGTCTGGGTTTAAATCCAGGTGGCACGACTGGCAGAAGAAAACTGGAAGCCAGAGGCATGTCTTTGCAGCTCTGGTAGACTGTGGAAATCTCTAGATGTTAGAGTACAGGGGTAGGGTAGGAGCACCAATGGCCAAGCCAGGTCATCCTGTCGGGTAAAGGCAGCATATGTGTGGCCACAGCAGGTGACCTGCAGGTAGATTTGTTAGTCTGTGGCTCTAGGTTCCCAGGGCAAACAAGGCATTCCTTGTCTCTGTCATAGAGGCATCACATTGGGCCATGTTTCCTGAGAATAAAAATGAGACAACCAATGCTTGTGATCAATTTTAAGAGGCTAAAAGATCTTTTTTTTTTTTTTTTTTTTTTTTTTTTTTTTGTTTTTTTTTTTTTTTTTTTTTTTTTTTTTTTTTTGGAAAGGCTGCTGATCTGCTCCCAGGCAGGTGCTGATAGTGCCTATTGAAGCCAGCTCACCTACCTGTAGGCCTTGCTATCCTGGGACCGTATCAGTGTGGAACCACCTGAGCATGACAGGGGCACCCATACAAACAGCTTGATATCACCCTCGTCCTAGTGTTCCACACTTGTACTCCTGTGGCATGTCCCATTCAGAATCTTCTTCTTCCTCCCCCACCCCCGAGACAGGGTTTGTCTGTGTAACAGCCCTGGCTGTCCTAATTAACTCATTTTATAGAACAGCCTGGCCTTGAACTCAGAGTGCTGGGATTAAAGGCATGTGCCACCACTGCCCAGACCATTCAGAACCCTAAGCGGATATAACAAAGCAGAAAATGAGGTCCAGGACATATCAGGGACTAGCCAGAGTGGGGTGAGGTGGGGGTTGGGTGGGATGGCTCTACGGTGGGGTCAATGCAAGGGCAGGGTTTGCCTGCCTGCCGGCCTGCCAAGGAAAAGTAGATAGCCACCACTGAGCTCCTTGGGGCATACAGCCAGTAAGAGGCCTAGCAAGCATTCACAAATGTTCCCACTTCCTATCTGTAACATGAAGCCCCAGTAGGTAGGACTGGGGAGGGAATGGGCTCCCATGTACAGGAGATTGTCCCCATATCCTGAAATTGGCAAGTCATAGCCTCTCAAAAAAGCTGGGCTTTCCCAGCATGCCCAAGGAACTGGAAAGATCCAAGGAGTTCTCAGAACTTAACCAGGAGGCAGCAAGTCCAAGGCCTGTGAGCTGGGACACAGACAGGGGATGCAGCCAGCAGTGAGGTTTCATCCACGTTAAGAGAAAAGGAAGTAGAAGAATCATGGTGTCTGGGCTTGGTACCCATAGCAGGACTAACATAAGGTGTGGAGACAGTGTAGGAGAGACAAGACAGAAAAAAGTATGGGAATTTTGGTAAGAAAGGTGAAATTTGGGACAGGGGTGGGCCAGAACTTGAGGCTCCTACGTAGCTCCCCTTCAACCTCTGTACAAAGTCACAGAGTAGCTCCCAAACTTCATGGCACATGTGAAGGCTGTGTGGCCTTTATGGTTCTCTGAGAATGCAGCTTTACCTAGCACCATGTCTCCTACCCAGTACCATGGCCCTTCCCCAACTCTGGTTCTGTCCCAGTATCAAGCTGCTTAGGCCATGAAAAAGGGCACTCCCACAAGGAACTAGGTATCCACCTGGAAATAAATGTTAAATGTAAGGAGTTGTCTACAAGTGATGTCAGCACCTCTCAGCCTCTTGGGCCCTGCCAGCTCCAGCCAAGGCTCGATCAAAGAGACCGTTTTTTCACCTGTTGAGAATCCCAGCTCTCTCTCATCTTGTGCAAGCAGCCTCACTCCCAGGTGTGTCAAAAGCTGAGCGTTCCTATGAGTATGCCATTCACCTAAATCTGGAAAGGCTGACCCCAATCTTCTGTAGAGACAGGTGGTGGCCAACACACCATTCCTGTTCTGCAGCTTCCTGAAGGCTGAGAGGAGGAACTAGGAGGGGCTCAACTGAGCATGGCATCTGTGTGACCTAGTCCTGCTAACATAAGGTACCATAATCACCAGCCACAGCAGGGCCCAGCCCATCACCAACTGTTGCTTCAATCCTCATCCCTGGGCACCTGTTTCTTGTGAGCTGGCACACACTAGAGTGGTGCACACCTAAGCTAGCACCCCAGCCCGGTGCTCATTGGCCGTATCAGTCTCTCCTTGGTCTTGCAGCAGAAGCTGCATGGGAAGAAGCACCTAGTGAATAAATAATACAATTGGGTCTATTTACCCATGAAACCTATACCTGGAGGGGAGAGGACCCAAAGTGCCTCAAGAACTGGTAAGGGCCACAAAGTTCTCAAAACTTGTATAGGAGGCACCAACTCCAAGAAGGAGGTCCCAGCCAGGATGCTAGCAGGACAGGACCTGTGAGCTGGAACACAGAGATGAGATGCAGTCCACACCCAACTCCCTATACTGGAGTGGATATTCTTTTTTTGTTTCTTTTTAAAGTGTGTGTGTGTGTGTGTGTGTGTGTGTGTACATGCACATGTGTGCAGGTGCCTGTGGAGGCAGAAGAGGTTGCTAAGTCACCTGGAGTTGGTGTTATAGACAATTACAAGTCACCTAACATGAATGCTGGGAACCAAACTAAGGTCCTTTGTAAGAGTAGTAAGAGCTCTTAACCACTAAGTATCTCTCCAGCCCCCAAAATAAATATTCTTTCTCCAGAGTTAGTATTTATTGTAGTTTTTGGCTGTGACCTAGTTGGAAGTGGAGTCATAAGCATGTGAAGATGAGGTCAGCAGGGTGGGCCCTAAGTCAGTGATCTGTGTCCTCCTAAGACAGGAATTTGACCCAGACACATGCAAAGCAGAAGTCACATGGCAGGGAAACCAACACCAGAGTAAGATGGTCATAGGCCAAGGATGCCTGGAGTCACCAGAAGCTAAAATGTCCCTCCTGGAATCTCTAGAGGAGATGTGGTCCTGTTCATACCCATTCTGGCTTCCAGAACTGTATGAATTAAAGCCTTCTGTTTAAGCCTCCATTTGTGGAGTTTTTTACCACAGAAAAAAACACCCTCTGAAGAAATGGTGTCATTAAGTAGGCTAGCCCCTTGGTGTCCAGACATTTGTAATGTGCATTTGGCAAAACTTGTGGTCAAAGGACAAGTACTGGCTCAGTGGAAAGGGTACGGACAGATGAAAGGCAGAAGGCAAGAGTGGCCTGGTAGGGAGCAGGGAAGGAGCACAAGCCTAAAGCTAGGCAGCACCGTCTAAAATTGTCCTGTGAGCAAGAGGTCTTGGGACAGCAGTTCCACAGCTGAGCAGAGAGGGTTCAATGCAGGCACCCATCTGATAGGTTAAGATGGGTCTAGCAATGTGCTCAGATCTTGGTCTTTCCACTCTGGAATGGAAGAAGCCTACAGACTGGGAAGTTTCCCAACTGTATAGATGGTCTTTAAAAACTGGAAATAAAATGAATGGAAAACTAAAAAAGTATTGGTTCCATACATTTCTATCACAAGAATAACAAGGTTGAGTGATAACCATGGAAGCCCCATAGTCTCCACAACCTAGCTCCCACCAATATATCAGACCAAATGCAATGGCTAAAGTCAATTTTCTAAAAACACTATTAAATGGCATACCAAAGGTATCCTCAGACACAATAGTTTGTTTCCTATGGACATTTTTTTTTTACAAAAAATATAATAACTTAGTTTGCATTTTACAGCATTTCCAATGGGTCAGGGCATTCTCGGCTGAGACCCAGCATGTACCTTCCCAGTTCAAGCACCAGGCTGGACCCATGCCACCACCCTGCAGCCTCTATCGGGATTTGATAGAGCAACCGAGGACTCAAATTGTGGCTCATTTGAAGAACAGTACCATGTCACCCAGCAAGTCACTCCATATTGATCTCACAAGGATTTATGCCCCTCTCTTCTGCATTCCTGTACATCCTTTGAAAGTCACTAAAGCGTGGGGCACATCCAAGCTGTGCCTCCCCAAAGTGCACATGTCCAGTGAAGAGGAATTCCCCATGTCCTGGCCGTACACCACACTCCAGCAGTGTTGTGACATGGCCCAGCCAGTGGCCACTGCCCTCAGGAGCTGGCTGGAAGACCCTGATCTTCTGACGGTGAAGCCTGCTCACCCGCAGGTAGATGACTGATGCTTGCTGCTCTGGCACATGGGTGACATCCTGGATGAAGCCTTGGACAACTGCAGAGGAAGGAGACTGAAGTCAGCAGATCTAATGGGCACTGTCAACAATGGCAGGCACATCACCCTGGGCATGTCCTTGGCTATCAAAGACTGAACCTGACCCTGAACCCACGCTCTCACCTACTAGCCTTTAGAATGCTCAGTGATGAGCAGCCGTCCATGATATTGACAGTGTCAGACAAAAGTATTCCACTGAGCATCAGCTACACAGAACATACTCTTCAGGTAAGAACAAAAACATAGCCAAAATGCTCTGCAGTTCTGGGTCCTATCAGGCTTCACAGTGCAGCTCAAAGGACAAGAATGATGTGAGGGGAAGGGACAGGGAATGGTTAGGGCCTAGAAAGCAGAGCAACAAGGAGTCAAGATCCTACCAAGTGATAGTTCTCGGCTTTTGGATGAGGGTTTGAGTAGGGCCAGCTGGGCCCCAGCTTAATGTAGCAACTCTCTCTTATGGCTGCAGTTCAGCAAGGACTGCCCCTGGTCTATGACCAAGAAGAGCACTGTGCAAACATCCCTGACTCCAAAAAGGCTTCCAAAATCCCAACCATCTGGATGAAGAATGGGCAGAGCTCTGAGCTGGGGCTGGTGCAGCAACACACCAGGCTGCCCTCTGAACCATTTTCCCAGAGAACTTCTGAAAAGTTACTGGGAACTTAAAGACTTCCAGAGTCCCCAGGAGGTTGGGAGCTGCTGTGCACAGTGAGAACACACTGACACTGATTTAGGGCCCACCCTGTTGACCTCATCTTCACATGCATATGACACACCTAGAACGCAAACCCCAACTCTGCCTGCATGTATGGTGTGCAGACTTACCTTAGTGCACACAGTGCATTGTACCCTGTGATTCCATGGTGAAGCCAGGTTAAGCAGCTTCAGCCCCCTACATCCCCCAATACACACACATAAAAGAAATCAATACTGACTTGGAAAAGCCCTCAGACCCTGCAAAGACAAACACAGGACAAACTTACCAAAGTCACTGGTGCAGATGGCAAGGAGGACCTCAGTATCACTGCAAGGTCGACATGGGGCTGGGGAGGAAAAGAACAGGGTGGATGATACAGCTCAGACAATGCTGGTTAGTCACAGACCCTCCCCAGCCCTGACACTGCAGAATATAAAGTCCTGCCTCCCTACCCTACATTTGAGGACATATGTTAGAACCACACAAAGTCAAGGTGAGACCTCTGGCCAACTCCAACTCTACCATGGAGGTGAAAAGCAAAGCAGGAGGCAGACCAACTTCTGTCAAGCCAGACCACTTGGCCTTCCTAGCTCATGCTGTAGCCACAAGAACATGAGCCCAGACAAAGGAGTTCCATGCCACTCCTGTTTACCTTGTTAGTGTAATTCCAAATAAGCAACAACTCTACTCATACGAAAACAAAACTGTTATCACATGCCTGCCACAGTGCAAAACATCCCCAAGCTGAACTGAAACCATGTGTCTATACCACCTACCAAAGCACCCGCCCCAGGGTCTACACCATAAAACGACAGGGGCATCTCACTGCAGCATGATGTCTACTTCCCGATCATAGCCCCAATGGAGAATCTCACTCAGCCCATCTGCCCCTGGCATTTCCTACAAGAACCAAGGCTACAAAGTCTGCAAAGAGAGTGTTAACTGAAGTAAGGGTGAGTGGGAGTAAGTGGGGGAATCTGTCTCTTGTGGGTATGGGGTCTTGGGCTGTGACCATTTGTTTAGCCCCTACACTAGGCCTCTCTAGTTATATACTGTAAAAGCCATTGAATTGAGTCCCACTTACAGGACTCTTAGCCTGAGCTACCCCACTGGTCATCCCCTTATCTCTAAAGATAGCCCTCTCCTGCCCTTTTGTCGCACTTCCCTGGTGTGGAACAGAAACTGGCTCAGCAGCTTTTCCACAGACCACTCAAGTGGATTCAAGAAGATGGAAGTTTGTTATTTGCTGTGAATATGTCTCAAGGCTTTGTCCTCAGTTTCCTGATTGGGGCCAAGTTCTCCAAATAAACAGAAACCCTGAGGTATAAAATCTCAGTAGATAAATTTCCCTAGGGCCATTCCCTTGCAAAGGCTTTGGGGCAGCCCTTGTTTTTTTTTTTGGGGGGGGGAGGGGAGGTAGCTTGGTTCTAAAGAAACTCATGCTACCCACATGCCTGGAGGCCACACAGCCTGACCCAGAGTGCTGGTGACTCGGCCCCAGGGGAACCAAGACAACATTCATGTGGGCGAAGGGCAAGCAGGCCAAGTGTTTCCAGGCCAACAGAAGTTCAGAGAAACTTTATGAGGTCCTGAAAGAGTAAGCTTCAGACAAAGCCTTAGGGTTTACAGTGTCCCAGTCAAGCACAGTTCTCAGTGGACCCTTGGGCTGGGTGTGTCTGGGGCCCTATCCTTTGGTCCTACCCCAGAAAGGGGGTGGGGTGCCTCCCAGCCTCCCAGCCTCAGCACTGCTGACTCACCCACCCACTCACCTGCCAGCACTTTGCTTCTATTTAGTTATCAGAAAAGGGAGAAGCTGCAGAACAAGTACAACCTGTTGGCATCAGCAGAGCCCATCAGAAAATTAAGCACTCCCACCCCCATGTCAGCTTTACAGCCCAGAGACTTCTACTAGCAAGACCTGGATGCAGCCAGACTCCTGGAAGCTGCAGTTTCCTGGTCCCCTGGATGTTCCCTTTCAATCCTGGTGGGCCTGACACTTCTTTCCTTCCTGTGATATTTGCTTGGGTCATCACAGCCCCCAGCACTGGGAGTCACCTGATCAACTCTGAAGCTGCCGAGGTGTGTGGCTTCTGTAGCATACTGTTCATCCTCACACTGACTAGGAACTAGTGGCTCATACTGACTGTGGGCAGACTTGGGTTGGTCTGATCCAGAACATAGACAGGGCCTGAGCACAGGAGTACTCCTGCAGTATAGGAGATCTCAGAGCCTAACATTCTAAGCAATATTAGATTCAGAGCACAGTACTTTGGTCCTACCCCAGAAAGGGGGTGGGGTCTTGCTAGTAGAAGTCTCTGGGCTGGTTAGCACCTGTGCCAACAGTGCCTACAGGCAGGTATTGACCCTGGTGACCATAGCCCATCTGAGGATCCCTTCAGGATGGAGGGCAGCAGAGGCCAGGGAAAGGGTTGAGGGTCAGGCCACAGTGTTGAGAGTTGGAGACAAGAGTCCCCAGAAGTTACCCTAAAGCACCCCAGAGTTGAGAGTTACCTAAGTTGAACGGGGCACCAATTTACAATGGAGAGGAGCCCAGGGGCAGGGATCCCAGGCCTGGAGATGTAGCCTAAAACATGTCCATGAGTTTTGCCCTCTCTGTGAATCATGTGTGCTGAGACCTCAGGTAATATAAGCACAGAATATGGGGAGACCATCCCCTTCAGTTGTGCTTTCTCTGGCTCACAGTTACCTGCTGGATATGCTCCTTTGTCAGGCTAGTCAGCCTACAGATCTGTACAAGCCTCAGTGAGTCGGTGCCATGAGCTAGCAGCCCACCCGAGGCATCCCCATTTTAATTCTGAGCTTCACTTTTGCAGAACTCAATGTGATGATAAGGACCTCAATCTAGGAAGAATTATTAAACAGTCAAGTTCATACCAATGCAGATGCTGGCATCACATTTCCTGGGAGCCACTTTGGAAACCAGGCAGGAAAATGCATAAAAGAAATCAAATGAGGATAAAGAAAACAGAATCTAAGGGAGCCTCCTGAGGACACCTGAAGAGTCAGGTGAGGGCTCACTCTGGGCACAGTTGCCTAAAGGGAGGAAAAGCAAATACAGGCAAGAATTGCTGGATGCTAGGAAGGTCTGCAGACCTTGTAAGCCAGACCAACTGGTGTGTAGACAATACTGCCTAATGAGGATAGCCAGGATGACACATACAGTTCCAAAGAGAAAATCTTATACACCAGAGCCCTTTAAGATCCCTAGTACACTCTGTGACAGATGGTAGGTACACTGATTTAACAGGAACAAAGAAGCAAGACTAGGAGCTGAGGCCTAGACTTCCTCAATGATCACCAATACCAGGTTCCACCAGAAGGATGATGACCCAAGGGATTCTCTGAACCCTTCATCCTAGCAAGGAAGTCAGTGGAGACAACACCCTCCTTTACCCAAGGCTGGGAGAGGGTTATGACAAAAAATAATTACAAGATAATTATTGTGGCCTGAGAAACCACCAAGGCAGGAACAGACCAGAGGATGCATAGCTCCAAATATCATGCCCTTTGTTCTCTAACTTCCAGTACACAATGCTTCTTCCCACTTTAAGACATGGCCACTGCTGGGCACGGTGGCACACATCTTTAATCCCAGCACTCCACAAGCAGAGGCAGGTGGATCTCTGTGAGTTCAAGTCCAACCTGGTCTACATAGTGAGTTCCAGGACAGCCAAAGCTACATAATAGGGAGACCCTGTCTCAACAAAACAAACAAACAAAAAAGACATGGTCATCAACCCTCACACCATCAGGGCAATGCCCAAACTCTGAGTCTACCAAAGGGACCTGGGCAGCGGGACTCCAAGTAGCTTCTCAAGCCTAGTAGCCACAAGCAGATTAGGATCTAGAAAGAACAAGCAGACACACTGAGAAGTCACAAGCTACATACACCCTGTGAGCTCGACCTCTATGGGCCAGTAACAGTGATGGGAATGAAAAGTGTCCACCTCTTCAGCTATGTGTCTGAAATGCCACTACTGCCACCAACCCCCTCATTTGGCCTCTCCTACAGTTCCACAGCAATGGTAAAAGTCATGAGCCCACCAGGATGGAATGGAACCAGAACCTACCCAAGCTGTACCTGTTTCCTGAACCAGACAGATCCTCTCCCTTGCTGATCACACCACAGTCATTTCTCCCACATAGCTGAGCCAAGGGAGGTCAGCCTCCAGTTGGAGTTTTATCTGTAGTCAGATGTATAGCCTTTAGAATTCTGCCAGATTTCCCTAAGGGTCAGAGGTAGTGCCAATGCCCAGATATCCTGAGCAAGGCCACAGGGGCAACAGATGCAGGGCAAGCAGCCAAATCCAGCATCACAGATGCTGGGGTCACCTCTCATATGACCTATCTATGCCCCTGGAACAATACCATATCCCACTGCTCTGGTCTCTTCCATTTTGATGCAGCTCACAAGTGAAATACAGAATCCTAGTGGACATTAAGCTAATACTGCAAACACTCTGATGGAACTCTCCTAGAGCAGTGGCAGGTTCCCTCCTTTCTGGGTTGGGAGCAAGGCTCACATGCACATGTGCAGATTCATACTCACACGTTCTCTCATGCACTCTTGTCTGGGTTCCAACTCATGGCACCAGTGTTCTCTTGAGTCAGCACAAAGGAGAATTGATTCATCTAAGAGCTTGTCTGTCTCTGGCACAACCATCTAGGTCAGGTGGACTCTTCCTTCTCTGGATGATACTGCCTTAACTCTGGTTTATATCTTATTTCTGGAACTGGACAAGGCCAGAGTAGAAAAGGAAAAGCCTGCCACTGGCCACAGAGACCTTGGGAGCTGGCCCAATCTGAGCAGAGCAATGGCCAGCACTAACATTTCATATTATACACCCATTCCTCAGGCACTAACAGTTCATAATCCTCATTCTCCAAGAAAGCTAAATCTCCAGGCTGAGACCATCTCAACCCTGAGTTAACTGGTGCTCCCTAGGAAGGGGGCACCCAGCTCTGAGTAATACAGATGTCTATGACTGTTTTCAGCAATGCTAGGGTTGGGCCAGAGCTCATAGCCACCTCAGTCTTAGTCCCTGTCCTGAGTTTTGATAGTCACTGTGTAGTGACTGAACTAGCAAGGTGTAAAAAGTCACTGTAAGTTTGATTGCAGACATCCAGGACCAAGCAGGTGTATGTTTTAGGATAGTGAGGGGACCCTGAGTCTCAAACACAGCAAAGTCCTAGACACAGAGATAGCATGACATTTGACCTGGTACCCTGCCTTATGTGAGATCCCGTGGCTTGAGAGGTGCACAGAATACTGAATACAGGATTACAGATAAATACCTATGCTAAGGTTACTGTCTTCCTGAAACCCCAGGAGAACCTGAGGCCACTCAATTGATCCCCTCAGGTCTCCCTCCTTTAGCCTGGAAGTATGGACACAGAAACAGCAGTCAGCAAGGGACAGAGAGGAGACAGGGCAGCTCTTGGGATATAAATCAGTCATCCTTGTTTATGACTAAAGAAATAAGACCCTGTTGGACCACAGTACAGCATGTGAGACCTGCCTTCCCCTTATGTAGGGTCCTGATGCTGACATCTCTCTACTGTCCACTCACAAAGCTACACAATCCTGAATGCAATTTGCCTTTCTCTCTCTCTCTCTCTCTCTCTCTCTCTCTCTCTCTCTCTCTCTCTCTCTGACACACACACACACACACACACACACACACACAATATCTGCTTGTGTCAAAACAAAACAAACAAAAACAAAGCCAAGTCCACAGCTTCAGTTATCAGGCACACATGTCACCTCATCTGGCATTCACCTGGTCTTGGAGAAATGTGTACCAGAGCTTCATTATCAATCACTATTCAAATCTGACCATGCATTGGTTCCTGAGGCTGCTATTCTGTCCCCTGGGAACTCCTCCCAGGCCTACCTACTTCAATCCCTAAGCAGGCACCTGGCTACACAACTCTCTCAATCTCAGACCCTAGGTACTTGCCAGAATCTCCATGCAGAAGCCTCTCCATCAGGTTCTTGGCTCTATCTTGCGGAGATGAAGCTGGGTCAGCTGTGCTCTCTCTGGAGACCTATGTGGTTTTCTTAATCCTGACTAATATTCATTCACAAAAGCCTTGGAATATCACAGCTTTATGTTGTTCTGCTCCTCACCCAAAACTATCTCAAGGTTATGGTAGACACTACAAACCCAAGTCAGTTTGTGGGACAGATGGAATGGTAGAAGCCCCATCTCGAATGAGTTATAAAGAGTCCTTTAGGGATCAGACCATCAGCCACTCTCGGGGAACACAGCCTCCCTCATCTCACTTCCCCAAGTCAGAAACTCCAGGGGCATAAAGGCACACCACAGTCAGAAGTCTTCTTAAAGGAGGTCTTTATTGAAAAGGCTGCATTAGCTTTAAGACCCAATACTCTCTTACCTTGCAGTCCCTCAGTAGGACAAAGGGCTCTCGGGATAAGCATACCACACTGAAGCCACAGACACAGGAATGTTTCATAGAGGTGAACAAGGGAGAGGAAGAGAAAACCCGAGTACTATTTGAATGAACTTCCAGTATTACTGAGAAGAAGCAGCAGGACTAACGGTTAGCTAGCCCATGATAGCCCTTCACAGGGTACTCACCAGACAGCACATGCAGGTCCAGTCCCCTCTGCCCACTCATCAGCTCATACTGGAAGCCTGTGGTCCTCCTGCTGATGTCCTGTTGGGGTGTTGCCTCTACAAACAGACCACCCCGCTCTAGGCTGAAGCACTGCACCTGGCCAGGCTCACCACCGAGGTCCCGTACCAACAATCTCAGTTCTCCAGTTTTTTCCAAATAAATATTGGCCCCAGAGGAGTCCCTGAAAGGCTTGATGCACACAGTGAAGTTCCTGGTAGGTGAGAAGGTGTTGGGCCGCAGGTTTACAATGAGGGCCCCGGTTGGGTACATCCACTCCACAGAGCCTGCTGAGCAGCGTAGGTACACCTGCTCCACCTCCTTGCTGTGTGCCTCTCGGGTCAGCCCGCTGTGGGAAGAGGGGACATAGTCAGGCAGGACCTCAGAGCAAAGATCCCCATATGCATTCACCCCACACATAGCCTCACTCAGGAGTCATTCACACTCACCTGACACATGTTCAGGTACCCACCACTCTTAGCTTCCAGTGGACCTACCCCAAGAGTCAGTCTGAGCCAGACAAAAGCTCTGATGGTACAGGCCATGCTGGCTCCCAGACCCTAGATACTCCTCATGCTGCACCTCAGGGCACCAGCGTCTCAGTAGGTTCCTTAGCCAAGGAAATGGCACCAGGAAGTGACAACAAGAATGTTCTGGGTAGTCCAAGGCATGGAGCAAAGCAGCCCAGCAGGACCACTATACCAGCCAAGGTTTTGGACCACTCAAGGGAGTGAAAGAGAAGGAAAAAACTTTTGTGTAAAGATGCCATGGATGTACTATACTACATATGCAATAAAATATTCCAGGGAGCAACTTCCAGTGCAGTGCTTAGCCACAGGGAATAAGAAATTTTTATTTTCCTTAAGCCACTGATCTGACCATTTTTTCATTCATTTCCAAACCTTAAGTTTTATATCACCAATCATATTTTTTTAAAAAATAAACCCAAGGGCCATTAAAGCAAGATTCATTATAAGGGAAAAGGAAACATCCCTTGGGCAGGGGTGGGGAGAAGTCTAGGGACAAGAAGACCTTTGGATGGGATTCCTAAAATAATAAGCTTCCAAAAGTAATAATTTGGCCCCACAAATGCCAAATGAAAGGAGGCATGTAGTATGCAAACTCCTGGGAGGCAGTATTGTTTTCAAAAACTTGAAGCTGCTGAAAATGCAGTAGTTTCTCCTGCTCAAACTAAAAAGCAAAAGTCAGCCTGTTGCTAAGGTTATGTCATAACCACAAGTGGTCTTGGACAGAAACCAGTGACTTCAGCTAAGAGTTCTATTACATGAATTTGGTTCTGATCAGATCTCAGACAGGTTCACCCACATTCTTAGGATTTTTATGCAAAATAAAAAAGGTTATATCCAGAAACTAGCCCAAGTGAGTTACCAGAAACCCTTCCTTCAAGAGAGAAAATGTTTAACACATGGCATACCTTTACTGCTAGTGACTCATGCTTCCGGCCCCCAAAACCTCATTTTGTATACAAGGACTGAAGTAGTCTAGAACTGCAAGTCACCCCGCAGACCACATCAGAGATAAGCATTGCGGGTGAACCCCTCCTGACCTGCTTCCCACCCCCTACAAAGCCCTGGGCCAGACAATAGCCAGCACTACCCAAGACACACATGTAGTACAAACTTAGAAATTACAGTCAATAAAACTCACACAAGCCATCTGACACCTATGTAGGAATAGGCCTAATTATAGGCCTACTGGGCCTATGTGAAAATTAGATTAAATGTCAAGTAGCTGATACACATGGCTAAAATCTAATTGTTGTGTTTTTTTTTGTTGTTGTTGTTGTTTTCTCTCCTGTCTCCAGCATCAAGGAACAGCTGATATTTGCACCAGGACAGTCATAAACCTCAACTCTCTTCCATACAAAGCAGCCAGCATGAGGTTTTGCTTCCTGAGGCTCAAGAGGGTGGAGGCCTCACCACAGAGGATCTGTGGGCCTCAGACCACTGAACCTCAGTGCAGCAGAGGTAGATAAAGGGGAAGACTATTCTCCATCCACAACATGGGGGGGACGACACACGGACGGGACGGGACACGACCCAAGGGGACAAAGGCCAGCCCACAATGCCCAGGTTTGGGGCTACCATCCCATCAGTCACATGCATTATGTGGTGGCTATTGCATTCCACTTAATTAGAAAGAACAATATGAATGCAGGGTACCCACGGAAACAAGGAATCTGTTAGCTCACCTCTACTGAGGCCTAACTAGCTAAGGGAAGGATTATGTATCCATCCCAGGACACATATATCCCTTATACTCTCTTAATATATTGAGGTCAAGCTGGGCGGTGCTGGCGCACACCTTTAATCCCAGCACTTGGGAGGCAGAGGCAGGTGGATCTCTGTGAGTTTGAGGCCAGCCTGGTCTCCAGAGCGAGTGCCAGGATAGGCTCCAAAGCTACACAGAGAAACCCCGTCTTGAAAAATAAAAACAAACAAACAAACAAAAAAAACCAAAAACAAAAGAAAGAAAAAAACTCAGATCAACAAGAGAGATTTCACACCAAAACTAGTGCAATATGCATAATCTGTGTTTAGAGAAGTAGGAACTAAAGTAAAGGGACCCTCAGCCTATGACCGGACAGAGACCTTTAAAGATGTCATGACCAGACATGCAGGTTCCCACTGGAAACCTAGTACCCTAAATCCCCATTTCCAATACCCAGTACCATAAATGCAATCGCATCCTAAATGACCACTGATCAACAGGACTTCACCATCCTCATGACATGTACATGATATACCAGCTACGCAAAATAAAGCAAATCCACTGCTGTGATTAAGCTACAGTACAGACAGAACTAACCCTAGCCTACACCATAAAATTGACAAGGCTGAGTTGATCATAGATTAAACTGAATAAATGGTGTGTATGAGTGTGTGTGTCCTGAGTAAAAGCACAATGTCTTTCACACTTGCACATGCTGGACAAGCACTATACTGTTAAGCCATATCACTAGCACAATGTTTGTTTGTTTTGTTATTTTCAATCAACAAGGGTCACCCCCCAGATGAACACTCATATTAGAGTGGCCTTGTGAGACAAAGTGTAAATTCCAGATTGGTATGAGGACTCGCTGATGTGAGCGGGGCTTTTTCAAGTACACTGCTCATACTGGGACAAGATAAGGGTCCCTAGAAAGGTTTGGGATCCAAGTGAAATCTAAAGCCTCTGCTGCTAAGTTTTGCCTTTCATTTTCTACCTTGCAAGACAGCCCAGGTGTGACTACACCTGCCAAGCGCCTGCTGGTAACAGCGGAAAAGTTCATGGTCCACATTTATGGCACTGGCTAATAAACATGGACAGAGAAAGGGATTTCAAACTTTCCAACTCGGAAACACCTAGAGCCTACATGAGTTTAACAGAGTGGCCAGTGCTATGGAGAGCAACTCCCTTTCTATCAGAGGCCAGAATCCAACTTTTTGAACTTGCTCCATCCAATGATTTGTTCTAGACTGCTTGAAACAATAAGTCATAAACACTGGAGAAGCAAGCACACCAGCATGCTGGGTAGTAGTAAACTGGCCTGTGAAGTAGGGGCAATGGCTCTGACACAGGGGACTTTTATGTGTTCTCCCAATCCCACCTACCCACATCTACCGGGTGCCTTCCGCTGTCTTCCGCCAGGCTGTGCGCTCAAGCGGATCCCAGAATAGGAATGAGTTTGTGTTGATGGAGGAGGAGGCCCAGGTAGGCAGGCATAAGTGTGACCAGTTACTTGACACTTCCCACAGCCTGGCTCTGGAGGTGGGCAGGGGAGAGAGGAAATCCAAGGGGGCAGAGAGCCAGCTCACAATGCCCAGAAATGAGTTTGAGTGCTGCCATCCAAGCAGTCATATGCATCACGTGGTGGTCATCTGGCTCCACTTAAATGGAAGGAGATTGGACCCACAGACATAAAGTGTCTTTTAGTTTATCTCTACTCAATCCCTCTCAAGCTAGGGGAAGGCCACCCCTCACCACAGATCCCTGGGCTGGAGGAAGGAACCTGGAAGAAAAGCAAGTGTCTGGAAATCTCATTCAAAGGCAGGAATTTGGTTTCTGGTTTTGGTCTGCTGTAACAAGGCACCCCAAAACCCGAGGTTAGAGTACACTGATTCAGCAGTGCAGTCTGTGAGCAGAGAGCTAATTACCATCGGGAAAAGGGCAGCCCCATAAGAGCTCAGCATCACAGGCTCATGGCCAGCTCTGTGATGGCGCCAGCATTCCCGAAGCCAGTCCTCCCCCAGATCCCATCTGCCCTCATCTACTGACTCCCTGCTATTGAGGGACAGAAGGGATTTCTACTAGAGAGAGAGCTAAAACTCCCTGAAAGGAGGTGCGGGAGTATTCAGGAGGCAGCGCTCAATCTTCCAGTCCAAGCACTCCAGCAGGGGTCATTATGAGGGTTGGTTGTGGTCTCCGTGGTTTCCTCAGAAAGTTAGGCACTCTAAGTGTATAACTATTGATGCCCTGCTTACACAGAGCCTGGGCGTCATTCAACATCCAGCCTTCTCAGAAAACCCTCTTCACCAAAATCACCCACCACATACACTGCCCGCATGAGACCAGATCGTGTAACCTCACAGGCCTGCGCAGGCTCCCTGCCCAGGGGGTGAGCCACACCAGACGCCCACCGCCGCCCCAGTCCACGTTTTCAGTGGAGACCCGCATCTGTGCAGCGCGCTAGGCAAACCGCTGAACTGGCAACTTGCAGTGTATAAAACTGGCTCTGCAAAGAGAGGGGGCCGGCCGCCGTGCCTGACGCGCCCTCAGTGTCCTAAGCAGCTATGACTCCTCAGGCACCCCGCCCGCGCACACTTGTGACTTGCGCTCCTTTCCACACGTCACACTTCAGTTAAAACAACAACAAAAAGTCCTGGGCTGTCACCGCTGATGGGACGGGGTGGGGTGGGGGGAGTCACAGCAACCCCGCGCCCGGCTGCCAAGGGCGGCTTGACCTTCACCGAGCGGGCGCGGGGCTCTATCCTACTGCGTTTGGCCGCGGACAGGTGTCGATCCCGTCTCATTGCCCCACAGACGCGACTAGTGCTGCAGCTATACGGTCGCGTTTGGACTCCGCGCTCTCCGCGCCACCGCTGTCCCTCTCGATGTGCACTAGACCGAACCTTCCTTAGGGGTCAGAAATCCCAACCGTTGGAGCACCGAACCCGGAGCCGGTCAAGCTCAGGGAACTCATTTAGGACTGAGATACGCGCGCTGAGAGTGGGCGTCTTCCGAGACCGACCCAGACACTGCCAACTCTTTTGTTCTGAAACCAGGGCTAGGGCGGGGGTCACCGAACT